AAGCAAACTACATGCATCTTATCTGATTTTTTAAATACTATCGAAGAATTTTCCAGGCATATGGAACCAGCAGTCAATGTGATGGCTATGTTGCTGGACTCCCAAGTAGCCAACCGTGGTTCAAGTCCTGGACCCGATGGCTTAAACTCATGCCAGGCATGTGTGTGTACATGCCCAAGATCCCGAGAGGAGAATGGTGGAAAAGGGATTGCGGCATGGCCATTCCCCCGGGGGGTGTGATTTCTCACTTTCTGTCTCTCTGTCTCTATCTGTCTGTCTTGCAAGCGCACATGCCCTACAGCAAAAAACCTCCCCCCCCAAAAAAAAACAAAAAAAAAAACAAGAATTTTCTCAGACAAAAACATTAGACTTTCAAGATAAACTGAAAGAATACAGAACTATTATCTAAGTATCCAAGGTCAAATTTTTACATAGAATCATATGAAACTGCCAGTAATCTACTATATTTTACCCAAAAAGTGGCAACTTGGTCTAATTCAACCTAGAACAATAATAAGAAATAAAGAGTAGGTAAATGAAAATCTAACACCAGAGGAAACTAAAACCTCATTAATTTCTTCATACAACAGTCATACTACAGAAATAATATATTAAGAAAGTCTAATACTTGACTAAAATTTAGGATCTGGAAGACACAGCCATCAGAAATACAGAGATGTCTTAAACAAATTATAATTTCACAATAATTAACATCTTGGAAACTAACTTGATTTTTCCCTGAGGTATTACAAATAAAAATATTTTTCATTTCTTTTGGAGATACTAAATCATCTTAAACCCCAAAACACATTGGGATCTTAAAAAAATGTAAGCAGTCTTTAGCTATGGACAGACTGGTATGCTGTAGTGGTTATGCTAGTAAACCCCAGAAAACCAGCTTCCAGGGCCAACCCCAGAGCACAGTGTGTCAAGATCCAGGTCCCACATGGCCAATGGACGTCCAAATCCTAGCCCCAGTGGCTGGAAAAACATGCCAGATATATGTGCATGCACACCCAAAATCTTTCCAGGAAGGAGAATGGGAGAAAAAAGGATTATGATTTGACTACTCCCAGTTAGGGGAGTGTTCACTCTCTCTTTTTCTTTCTCTCATATATGTGAAGTATTGCTTGTACCCTCTGAAAATTAAAAAAAAAAAAAAAGCTTCTGGGGCAGGGGGGAAGTAAATGTGTGTGTAGTAAATTTTAGTAATATAAAAGATACATACTACACATTATACAACTAATAATAAAAAGATACAGTATCGTGAATGGCACATAGCTGGTCCATTCTCATAGAATGCTTTTGTTGATCTTTGCCAAACTCTTCTTCAGCAGCCAACATATGGTTGTAACCACCAAGTAGGCATAGTTCCAAAACTCCATGTGGATTAATAATAACATGCATGTGAATGGATAAGACAAAAGTGAAACAATAAAACATTATATCAGACCATTCATTAATTAATGATGAGGGTGACTCTTTTGCTGAACTGGATAATAGGTTTTAATTACCAGAAAAGAATTTCTCCAGCTTTTTGTGCCTTTCACACTTTAACAGACATTACAAGCTTGTAAGCTTATTCTACATTACTAGCAGTTTCTCTGTCACTTTTTATGTCTAGAAATAACTGGCAAAATAAGAAATCGAGCCCTGATTTGTAGCTTTTGCTGATCTGCATGTACAAATAGGCAAACATGGCCAATGTGAAAGTCACCAACATGAAGTTCTAAAACACAGAGCCTGGAACAGAGACACAGGAGCACACCACTTCGCAGTATTTCCACTACACAGCACACTAGTTGGGAATAACCTCAAGAGCATGGATTATAGAGAAAGAAGTAAGAAGCAATGAACTTATTATACTTTTCTTGATATAATTAACTAATTGTATGTTTATAACATTGAACTTTTTCTTTTCTTTTTTTTTTTTTAAACTTACCAGAGGGTTTGTACACTCACCAGCAAAAGAGGGAAAGTGAGAAAGTTCCTCCCATGGGGGATGATTACACTACAATCCCTTCTCTTCCTTTCCTCCTCTCTGGATTTTAGGCAGACACATCTAGCGTGTTTCTCAGGCCACCAGGTCCAGGACTCGAACTACGCAGTTAGCCATGTGGGATCCAGTCACTGTAACCACCACACCATAGCTGGCCCAATTTGATTTTTTTTTTTTATGAGAATAAGAGAGCATAAGAGGGAGATGGGTATTTTTTGATAGGGTCATGGCTTATGGCAGTTCACCTGTCCCAATTTCAGTTAGTTGAAATTACAGGTGCACACCACCATACCAAGCCTATTTGGATTGGCGCAATAACTAAACCCAGCCTCCCATGTGACCTTAGGGTCATGCAAGCTCATGCACAGCCCCTCTCACTTGTCCAACTGTGGCTGGGTCATACATAATTTAATTTTGTAAAGTAACTGTACTTAACAACGAGTTTGCAAAAATTCTTGATAACAACTGGCTCTTGCAAGTAGACAAGATTTGTCTCCAGTACACCACAGGGAAATGAAAAAATGTCCAACTCTGAAGTATCTCCATAAATTTAGCTCTGTATTACATTGTTGCTAGCATAACTAATGCTGAGTCTATTCTCTAACCTATAATAGAAAACTAAGGTGACTTAAGTTTATCTAGGTTTCATATGACGATATTTGAATCTAGGTCCAATTATAATAGATACAGGATTCTGCTTTATTCAGTAAGTAGGAGTTATATAATTCATTATTTTAGAAATAATAAAAAAAAAGCTGTTAATGCTATTAATTAATTAAACTCCAAGAACTAAATGTAACTGTGTAAACTTGCAAGTTAAAAACAGTACCCCTGGAAAGCCAAAAGTTTGTCAACTAGTAAATTTATAACAATGTACCTTGGAGACACATAAGATTCATTGCTGTAGGATCTTTCAAAGCCAAATCTTGCTTCTGGATATTTAAAGAGAGTCAGGGAACACAAAGGCCAATAATAACATGTTTTAAAAGGCCTAATCATATTCCATGCTTCAGGGTGTAAACTGATCAGCTAAAAGCCAGTAAAGAGCTGCCTGCCCTTCCTATTTGCTTTTTGCCCAGCATATATAACCTTTCACAGATGGTAAGCTGAATGACAAGGCAACTGCAACTTTCCTCTGAAGTACAGAGATCTACTGATAGAATAAGAGATCGAGTGACAAGCGATATCAACTCATTGGTCATATCCACATCCACATACTTTCCCCGAGAGCACAAGATACTGGCCTCCAAAACCCATCTGTTCCCAATTTCTACTCCGCCTGCAGTTCCATGATAATGAGGCTCCCATACTGGTAGAAAGCATCCTGATTGTCATATTCGTTCCTTTTCTCTTTGTTCTCATTGCAAATGTAGCAATATTTGAAAACAATATACTTCATTACTTCCTTACACTATAGACAACTCCATGATAAAAAAAAAAAAAGAAAAAGAAACTTCAAATCTTGGAATTTTATTCTATATGAGAAAGAGTATTATTAAATAAGACATAAAGTAGGACTTCAACTCTAATTGCCATAATTTCAAAACTACAGGTTGTTGTTTAAAATGACATTTTATGAAATCAGTTATAGTAAACTTAATCATCCTGTAACTTCTCCAGCTACTAAACAACCCCTCTCTTCAAAAATGCAACTACAAAATTAAAACCAGGGAGACACACACAAAACCCAAAACATTCCTGTAAGTAGCAACAGTCCAGGTAACAGTAGAATTATCAAATCATACAAGAAATATTCTAGATTACATTCTCTCTTTTGTAAATATTTTTTCATAAAGAGCTTATTTTAATTATTTGTTTATATCCAATTTTGTTTTAAAAACATATCCGATAAAGTTTGCTAATAGCAAGCTCTCAGTTAACCAATAACTTCAAAATTAAGCCAGAAAACCTGATTTCTGGAAACAAAGTGGCTGAGTTAGAACTCAGTTTATACGGTTTACTTACTCTTCCTTTTCCATGACAATTATGTCTTGTGTAATTCTGGAACTACACCTAAAGGCAATGAGTTAGAATCTCTGTTACCTGCTCATTTCTCTTAGTACTTGTTACCTGCTCATTTCTCTTAGTACTTAAAAAGACTGGGGGTGAGAGGGGAGTGTAGACCTATTAGGTCATTGGAAAAGTCATGACATATTTTTCTGTTATTCAATGCAAAGATGTGTCATGACTTACCCAATGACCCAATAGTTCCACCAGTCCAGTGCTCAGCAGCTTCTACCTATCATGCCTTCATTTTCCATAGTTGATATAAACTGACTTCTCCCTTCAGACTGCACCCAACCATGGAATTTATTTGAAACAAAGATAATGACACTTAACATAAATATTTTACTGGAAACCCTAGGAAATGTGATAAAGTGTAAAAAGGACATAGGACCTCTGTTATTGTTACATAATGATGCTACTATCTCATCTCCAATAATTATTCTTGTATCTGACTATCATTATCTGATATCAAAAGAGATTGGCTTTTTTAAATTATAAAAATAATATTGAGTCTTAGGTTGAAGAAATGACCACTTATAGTCTGGATACTATCTCATATACCAAGCCATGAGTTTATGATATGAGATTTCAAGGCATTTATCATACCTTCCATATCTTTCCACTGCTGGCAAATCACCATGTCAGAAACACATTCCCTGATGTACTCAGTAATCTACAAGTTTGCTGACTCATCAGAAATACGCAGTGGTTGCATCAGAGTTATTACCAAAGCATCTCGCGCAATTAGAATAGATGTGTAAGGAGCAAGCCAGGCACCGTGGCACTTGCAGCCTACAATAACTGCTGGAATCATTCCAGCAAGACTGAAAACCTGTCCAACTGGAGAAAAAGTGTCATTGTGAAATGGCTATGGCAAATGAACTTGAGAAAAGAACTACAGAAAGGGGTTTAAAAATCAAAAAAGATGACAAGCAATGGCATAAAGGGGACTGAGACGAGTAAGAAAAAGCAGCAGCCGCTGGCCCGGTATTACCGTTATCGGGGTTGGTGAACATCCTGCTTGCACTGGAGACCGTCTTCCCAATATCAGCCAGTGACCGAAGATTGGATTTCTTGGTTTGATGTCGGTGTTTCCGGAGCAAAGTGTAGGTCACCTTATCCTTAAGGTCAGGCTTCAATAGGCCTGTCTCAATTTGATGGTCGACAATCATCTCTGATAAAGCCAAACAAAAACAAAAACAAAAACAAAACTCAGTCATAAGACCACAAAAATTAACATCAACATACTATTTTCCAAATTTCTACTTTCTCTCTGTATGTAAAAGATAAAAGCACAGGGGATCAGAAACCAGCATTAATAAAAGATTTATTATTCTAGTATCATTGATATATTTGGAGAGGCAGAACTGTCTTAGTCATTTTATTTCAGTCCCTGTTACAGTGAATTCACATAAATCACATTCTTCTGTAAGTAACACAGTAAGTCAATAGTTCACATTTTTCAACTGAAAAAAGATTCAAAAATTTGATATACTTTCATAGCAAAAGTATCAGATATATAAATGATATGAAAAAAAAACTTAGAGAATCACAAAAATTAAAGAATGAGATTAATGATTTTTATAAAGGTTTTTGCCAGAGGTACTAGCACTCGTCAGAGAGACAAAGAAAAACAGTGAGAGGAAAAGTGAGAAATCACCCCCCCCCATGCCACAATCCCTTTTTTTACATTCTCCTTTTGGGATGTGGGCACACATGCACAAGTAGTGAGGATGATTTTTCAAGCTGCTGGGTCCAAGACTTGAACCACAGTCGGCCATGTGAGAGCCTAGTTTCTTTTTCTTTTTCTTTTTTTTTTTCCTTTGTTTTTGGAGAGGTTTTCGCTATAGGGCGCATATGCTCGCCAGAAAGACAGAGAGAGACAGAGAGATAGAAAGTGAGAAATCACCCTCCAGGGGGGATGGCCACACCACAATCCCTTCTCCTCCATTCTCCTCCTGGGATCTTGGGCATGCACGCACACGAGCCCAGCATGAGTTTAAGCCACTGGGTCTGGGACTTGAACCGCTGTCGACTACATGGGAGTCCTGCGACATAGCCATTACGCTAACTGCTGGTCCCAGGAGCCTAGTTTCTTAACCACCACACCACCTACTGGCCCCTCCATTGACCATTTTAAAGTATAACTCTACTAGAATTACTAGAATATTCTCTTTTCTTTTTTTCTTTTTTTTTTTTTTTTTTGTAGAAGATTTTGCTATAGGGCACGTGCGCTCGCCAGACAGACAGAGACAGAAAGACAGAAAGTGAGAAATCACCCCCCAGGGGGATGGCCACACCGCAATCCCTTCTCCTCCATTCTCCTCTCGGGATCTTGGGCACACATGCACACGCGCCCGGCGTGAGTTTAAGCCACCAGGTCTGGGACTCGAACCACGGTCGACTTTGTGGGAGTCCAGCGACATAGCCATTACGCTAACTGCTGGCCCCCAGGATTGGTTTTGAGAGCTTTATTGAGTGGGACTATATAATGAAAAATACTCAGAGCTAAAGGTTACTCTCAAACCCAAACATTCTGTGAGAGAAACTCTTCCTGCCTTGCCCAAACTCTCTACCATGTGGTCCAGTGTTATGGATATTTATGGGAGGTGTGTCAAGTTTGTGATGGAAATCCCGAATTCAGTCTCTGCTTGGTTTCTGTGTGGTTGTTCACTGGGTTGGTCACCAGTTTCTAGCTGTAGGTTGTGAGGCCACTCCTGTGAGTACTTGCTGTAAAGATGGACTTCTGAAAGCACAGTCATGCCCAAGCAGTCTTGTGAACATCTGCAGCTTTTCACAATAGAGAGGTGGGGATCCTTGGGAGAGGCTTCTTACCCTTCCAATGTCCATCGACTTTCTTGTCAGACTTTTGGGAAAGAATGGCTTTTGCTCTCCTTCCCCACTTTCATGTACTGAGGAGTTTGCCAAAGAAGAAAATATGGATGTATGCTAGATGCCTCCATGTACCAGACAAAGCAGGCATAAGATTCATTGTCCTGGTTCCATGTAGGGGGCAACAAAAGCCACTTGGTATGGTGAGGTAGCTTCCTGCCAATTCCTGTCTTGGATGGATTCTGTGATGTTTTGTCATCAGTCCAATTTGTGTGGAGATAAATGTTGGCCTGTCATGTAGATGTACACGTGGATTGTTTGAGATTGGTAGGATACACCAGGCTGCATTTACGCCTTACTATTGACACGCTGATTTGTGAGAAAAACCTTTTCCCTTCCCTTCCCTTCCCTTCCCTTCCTCTCCCTTCCCTTCCCTTCTTCTCCCTTCCCTTCCCTTCCCTTCCCTTCC